TATCATTTCACCGGCGTCCCCGATGAGCATGGTTGGCTACGTACGGTGCGAAAGACGTTCAACATACGCACATACAGATCGTATCGGGCGGTGTAGGCGCACAGCCCGTAGGGAAATCCAATGTTGGATGAGTCTCGTTGCCGTCACGAACGGATTCTTTGACCAGATTTCACCACGCATAACTGTTTGAATTTAAAAAAATCAGAATATTGATTTGTCCTGGAAGAGGAATCCGATGAGCTATGACGTTCTTTTTTTACTCACAGATTTCATTCTATTATATTTAGGATTTAAAAAGCTCCCTTGCCAGGGCGATTTACAACGCAAGCCGACGGCGGCACACAAAGGGGCAGAAGGGGAGCAACGGGTGGGGTGGAGCGGCTGTCAGTGAGGGAGGTGACGGAAGGGATGGAGGGACAGGGGCTGGGGATAGAGTTGCTGATGCTGTAGGGTTAGGGAAGGAGGAATAACGTGGAGTGTGATGGTGAATGAGGTGTCACAGATGGGTGCAACGCGAGTGAGAGGCAGCGGGTTATGGAGGTAAGATAGATCGACGTTGTGGCTGGGCATGGATGAGGGCAGGTGAAGGGTGGTAGGGGCAGAGGTCTGTTGGCTGGATAGTTGGGCTGATTGAGGAGCGCAGTGGAGGGCTGGGGGAGAGATGTGGTTAGGTGCACATGGAGAAAGCGAGACGTGGGAGGCGGGTCAGGAATTAGAGTCGTTGGAGGATGACGCCCGGGGGACTGGGAGTGCGTTAAAGGCGGGGGAAGGAACCGGCTCGAGATGGTGGCAGTGGAAAAGAAAAAGCAACGGAGAAAAGAAAGGTGCTGAAGGTCGAGCGAAAGGAGGAAAGCGAGGGGGAGAGTCTGATGTGGAGAGGGAGTTTGTTCCAGTTGCAACGGGGCAAGAAGAGAGAGAGAACGAAAGCGAGACTGGGCGCGAGGAGGTGGAGGGACGGTGCGAAAAACGGAATATTAAGATCAGAGGTAGCTTGAAGGAACGTGCAAAGAAATGAGAGAAGAGAGGTGGGAGGGTGGCAAGGGCGTGCAAGGCTTTGAACACGAGAGTGAGGAATTTTAAAAAGACAGTGGCGATAAACAGGAAGCCAGTAAAGTTGTTGAAGGAGAGGAGAGCGGTGGGATGTGTAGGGAAGGTTGAGTTCGGCGCGTGCAGCTGCGTTTTGGATATGGAGGAGTGAGTTTCAGTGATCAAGACGAGTGAATGGGGAGTGCACGAGGAGCTTGGTAGCGGTGCAAGTGATTATGGGGCGTATTTTCCTGATGTTGTACAGATGGTAACGGCATGTGCGAGTGGCGTTGGCAATGTGGGAAGTGAAGGAAAGAGTGGAATCGAAGGTGGAAGAGTTTGGGAAGAGGCAAAGGGAGTGGGTGGGGAGGGGAAGAGATGGAGGGTGCAGGAGAGGGCGAGCCAGAGGATGAAAGGAAAAGCAATGAGGTTTTGGAAGGATTTAGGGAAAGGAATGTTCGGGTCATCCAGGCTTGTACGGCTGTCAGACAGGACGAGAGTCGGAGGGAAGGATCGGGGGTGAATAATTTGAAGGAGAAGAAAATGTGAGTGTCATCGGCAAAGAGGTGATAGGAAATATCAGAGGAAGAAAGAACAGACTCTAGGGGAGATGTCGTATACGGAGAACGGGAGGGGGCCAAGTAGCGAGCCCTGGGAGACATCGACCGTGATGGGGGTAGTGGAGGAAGAGCAGTGGTTGAAAGAAGCAGTCGATGAACGGGGATTTATGTAAGAACGGACCCAAGAGAGAGAGTGTGGTGTCAGAGATGCCGAGGTTGGAGATGAGCGGAGAGGAGGATGGAGTGGTGGATGGTGCCGATGGCAAGGAGACATATCGAGAGAGATGAGGACGGAGGAGAGTTGGCCAAATGGTTGTAGGATGTGGAGGAGGGCGGTTTCAGTGGAATGGAGAGGATGGATGCAGTAAATTTTGCTGTGACGGTCCCACCTGATGACGGAGACTTGTGTTGCCTCCGAAACGTCGTGATTTATTATTTTATTTCTGTTATTACTTCTATTTTTTTTACCTACGTGACTTTACCTAAAAAACCTAAGAGTAGGGCGGAACCCAGACTGGTGGAGGTGGATACATCGAGGCGGGAAGAGATGTAGGATGAGAGGCGTTCAAGGAGTTTGGAGAAATAAGAAAACAAGGAAATATGGCGATGGCGTGCAGGGACCGAAGGATCTGGAGAAGGTTTTTTGAGAAGAGGTGCGATGATGACGGTTTTGTAAGGGTTGGGGAAGATGCCAGAAGAGAGGGAAGAGTCAAAGAGAGCCAAGAGACATTGAATAATCGTGGGGGAAATGGATAGAAGAAGGGGGGGGGGGCAGATGGGGGTCGAGACAGGAAAAGGTGGGGCGGGTTTTTGAGATGATGGTCGACAGCTCCAGACGGGAAAAGTCGCCCAGTAGGATCAATGGAGAAGAGGTTTTTAATAGAGAGTCGATATGAGACACTCAAGATCATTGCAGAAAGAGGAGCAGGGACCCGGGGGACGGTCGATGATGAAGAAGGAAGCTGATTGGGGTAAAGATAAATAGGAAATTTGAAATTCGAAAGAGGAAAAGGTGGGGAGGGCATTGGATAGGGTCGAGGAGATCCATGAGGAGGGGATGAGCAGCCCAACACTACCACCAGACTTGCCAGAGGGAGGTGGTGAATGGAGCAATTGAGTCCTGGAGGGTGGGGGGGGGGTAACGCGGCGGGGGTAGCGGTGTTGAGTGGAGACGTCCAGGTTTCCGTTAATGCTCTGGCGTGGAGGTTTTTCGAAAGGAAAGCATCGAGGGTGGATGCATGCTTATTGATAACGAGAGTCCCATGGGCCAGTATGGGGCGCGCCAGCAGATTATGGCAACAAGCAAACTCTTTGGTTATTTCGGTAAAGTCACGTAGGTATAAAATAAAATAAAAATTTTATACCTACGTGACTTTACCGAAAGAAAGAGTATGGATTCCTGCAGTCACGAAAGCTTCAGATCAAGATGAATACAGACGATAGGAGTGCAACAATCGAGTGAGAAAAAACGTAAGCGAGCCATTTATAATTGAAACATTAATATTCAACATTGTAATAATTGCGGGGGTTTTTACACGAAATGGAAGCTTGGGCAAGGCAGCAAACCAACAACGACGACAACAACAAACCCAGACCACACCAAGACAACACTGCAATAAGATACACCCTTGCCTGGGGTAGGCACCGATACTATTTGTCTGTCTGTATGGTTATCGGTCTACCTGTGTGTGTGTGTGTGGTGCATGTCGTTGACCGGTCTGATATTCATCACTCTCGCACTGCCACAGAGGCCATCGTGATCAGATAAGGAATATCTACTCCTCATCGGCCACAGCCTCCAGGAGTCGTCTGAACACAACACAAGGAACACAACACACACCACACGCAATATACACAACACACACCACACACAGTATACACAACACACACGCAATATACACAACACACACAATATACATAACACATACACACCACACGCAGTATACATAACACACACCACACACAACACACGCAGTATACACAACACACACGCAATATACACAACACACAACACACACATCACACACAATATACACAACGCATATGATATACACATCATACATTATACATAACACACACAACACACATATAATATACACAGCACACAGTACACATACCACACATAATATACACAGAACGTAATATACGTAACACACAATCCACATACCACACACAATATATACAATATACACAGCACACAATAAGCACAATATAAGCGACACACATACAATAAACATAACACGTAATATATACAATATACACAGTATATACAATATACACTAAACAAACCGTAAACATAATTAAAATAACATGGGCACAAACACTACAAATACACAGCGTGAGAGATGAAATACTGAATAGACAGGACAGACACAACAACACAGACACAACAACACAGACACAACAACACAGACACAACAACACAGAGGGACACGCAACACAAACACTACAACACCAACTAAACACAACAACACTGACGCAACGCAAACTTAACACAACACAACAAGACACAAACAATTACAAACGGCAATAAAAAACAAACCCAACGATCAAATATAAACATCGCAAACACGCAATAAAACATACGTTAACAAGCACACACTTCCACAAAACAAGCCCCAACGCAGACCACACAATGCACAAGAACCAAGGATCCCCCGTGTAGCCTTCATTAGACCGATATCATCACAGATCGTTGGGTCAGATCACCGCGGAAGTCAAATGGTGCCGTGTTGTACACCCTCAACCACCCGACACAGTCAATGCACGAGGTTGTCAAGTGAGCGAACGTGTCCAGTTTGTGACTTCGTCAGCAGCGGTGCTGTTGGAGAGCGATCCACACGCGTTTAACAACTGGCTAGTCCGACGTTTCGCTGCTGGTTGCAGCCAAACTTGGACAGGTTGTTTGGGCAAGTGATGTGAGCAAACACAAGACACCACAACACAACTCACAACCCACTTACCACCACAACACAACCCACAACACACAACCCACAACACACACCACACAACCCGCAACAAAGACAACCCACAATACACACCACAAAACCCACAACACCACTCACAACCCACAACACAAACCACACAACACACAACACAACCCACAATATACACCACAAAACCCACAACACACCAAACAACCCACAACACACAACACACGCCACACAATCCACAACAAAGACAACCCACAATACCATCAACAACCCATAACACACCACCTACAACACAACCCACAACACCACCGACAACCCATACCACACAACCAAAAACACTACCCATTTCCCAAAACACATAACCCATACCACACAACCCACAACACACACCATCCACAACACAAACCACACAAACCACAACACCACCACTCACAACCCATAACGCACAACCCACAACACAACCACTCCCCTGCCCATCACGATGCCGAACGACTCCGACGACGCAGCCTCCTCCACCTGCGTCTCCTTCAACCACCTCAACTGCACGGGGCCCTCCCTCCCGCCGCTGAGCCGTCACCTTGTCCTCGCCCTCCTCCTCATCTTCATCGCCGCCACCATCCTGGGCAACCTGCTCATCATCGCCGCCATCGCCTCCTTCCGGCAGCTGCAGACGCGGGCCAACGCGCTCGCCCTCTCGCTGGCCGTCTCCGACCTCCTCGTCGGCGTCCTCTGCATGCCCTCGTCGACCCTGAAGACCATCTACAACTGCTGGTTCTTCCCCGACGTGCTCTGCCACTGGCACTTCTTCGCCGACTACATGTTCACCACCGCCTCCGTGCTGCACGTCACCTGCATCGCCTTCGACCGCTACGTGGCCATCACCGACCCTCTGCGCTACGCGGCGCGCGTCACTCCGCGCACGCTCGTGGCGATGCTCGTGTTCTGCTGGCTCGGCTCGGCGCTGGTGTCGTCGCCGATACTGCTCAGCCTGAGCAATGGCGACGCCCTGTCGGGCCCCACCATTCACAGGATCCTGTGCCCCAACGACTGCTTCTTCTACATCAGCATCGGCATCATGCTCGTCATCGGCATGGGGCCCTACTTCGCGTCCATGCTCGTGGTGGTGGCGGTGTACGCGCGGATCTACGCCGTCGCGCGGGGCCAGGCGAGGAAGATCGCCGCGTCGGCGAGCGGCTCCCAGACCCGCGGGCACGCCGACGAGAGCGCCAACTCGGCGAGCGTGAAGAGCCTGAAGCGAGAGCACAACGCCACCAAGACGCTGGGCGCCATCATCTGCTCGTTCCTGCTCTCGTGGCTGCCCTTCTACATCATCACCATCATCTCGATGTTCGTCAACGACATGTTCCTCTCCTACCGTGTCACCCTCTGGCTGGGCTACATCAGCTCCATCGTGAACCCCTTCCTCTACGCTCTGCTCAACAGGCAGTTCCGCGCCGCGTTCCGCACCTTGCTCAGTGTCAAGGTGTTCTCCGTCCTGGGCAGCCGGGGCGCCGATTTGATGGGGGTTAAGAAATCCTGATTGTGGGATTGCTATGGGGGTGTAGGGGTGTGGGCGTGGGGGGGGGGCGAATCAACAGGTAAACAAGTAAACAAAAATAAGATTTGATTTTGAAAAATATGAGGACAATAATGTGTGTGTAGTTAGAACTTGCGTATTATTGTATACGGGTTAAACAAAGAAAAAACGCATCCGTAGCTATATCAGTGAAAGTGAGTCGGGATCTTGCATAGCCCCCCCCCCCCCCCCCCCGTTGAAATCGTTCGGTGCGCTCCTGGTGGGGAGGGTGGGGGCGCTGGTGGTGACTCGGCGTGGGTTTACAATTGGCCGTGTCGGAGACACACTCAGCCCCCATCGTGCTCAGTTGCGCCGCTAGGTTCGGATCGGGGTGTCGGCCACACGTGCGATGACGGCTGCACGCTGATTGATGCAGCGAAAATGTGATGAAACAAAACAAAAAATTGTTTAGAAAAAACAACTGTGTTTTTTTGTTTAAAACCCCCAAAAATGAGTTATTTTGTTTAAAACCCCAAAAATGTGTTTATTTTAATGTATGTATTCCCTGTAATGTAGCTAACTCTAACTATTTTTTTTATGTTACCAGGTCAGGCCCACAGCTGTACAGCTCTTTGTCACGGGCGACCTCGCCACAAGTAACAGCTCAACGAAGAGGCCATCGTCACGTGGACATTTGCAGCAGCGAAATACTCGGAACGCGTGTTGCTAAATTTGGAGTGGAAAACCGGAGGACTCGGAGAAAATCCACGCGACCATCGGGAGGGAGACACGCAAACTCCAAATATACAGCAGGCGGCGGGGTCGGGATCGAACCCACGGACCTCCTGTATACCAGGCGAGGGAGTTAACATCGACTACCGCGTTTACCGAGGACTTGCTGTAGACGGGTCTCAATGTCTCCGTGTAAGTCTTCAGTGTAAGTCAATTAAATAATCATGGGCGTCAAAGTTTTGCGTGGGACCCACATCTAAGAGAGAGGGGCCCTTGCCTATGAAACATCGGTCAGTTCACCACCAACGTTGGCGTCATTTGACGAAATGTTAACTACCTCGCCTGGCTTTACAGGAGGTCGTGGGTTCCATCCCGACCCTGTGCCTGCTGTATGTTTGGCGTTTGCATGTCCTCTCTGTGCTCGTGTGGCTTTTTCTCCGGGTCCTCCAGTTTTTTCCTCCATATTTATAAACGTGCGTTTCGAGTTTTTGGCTGGTATGAATGTCCACATGATACTCCACTTCCTTCAGCGATCATTTGTGGCCAGGTCGCTTCTGCAAAAGAGTTACAGTATATATCAGCTCAGTTGCCCTTACCTGGTAAAATAAAATAAAAATATCTTAATAGTTTTGGAATGGTTCAAGCAAGTCTGACTGCTGGTGATGAGACCTTGAATTTTTCTTGTTGCTCAACCAATGTTGCTGGAATTATGCGCTCCCAGAAGGCCGTGTGTGGCTGATGTGATGTGTATTTTTACCTTCAGGAAGCGCCGTGTGAAGTAGGAATTCTGTTTGCTTAATTGTCCTTACTTGTATTCTCATATAAATAACTATAAGTCCGTGGGGTCTCTATACCTAAGCACGTTTATCTATGTGTGTAGTTGTGTATGCATGGGGAGAAGTCGTGTCACGGTTAGCGTGCTGCGCTACGAACCCGGCGTTCGATTCCCGCTCAAGGGCAACACCAGTGACGATTATCTAAACCGATTCTGGGCCTCCCCTAGGTTGACTCAGCCTCAAATGAGTACTTGGTGCGGTGTGTAGTAAACATCGCCACTGGGGAGACAAAAGCGGCCGGGCGTGGTGTTGGCGACCCACCCCCTCGTGTGCTGTGCCGGCCTTCATAGGTGCTCGCTAACAGCACTTGCCCCCGACAGCATGTCGAGGCTATACGGGGGATCTTTATATTTTGTGTATGCACGGACCAATTGCTTTGTATTGCCCAATTCTCTAACGATATGAGCGGAGGTTCACTTTAATACGCGGGCTTGCTAACGTGTATTGAATTTTGATTTAAAGCTTTCGTGACTGGAGGGATTCATATTATTGGTTCTTTCGGTAAAGTCACGTAGAAGGTAAATAATAAAATAATAAAAAATTAAACAATAAAAAATTCTCACGACGTTTCGACTGCAACACAAGCAATCATCATCAGGTGTGAAATCCACAGCAAGAAAATTTGAAAAAAATAATTATTGCTGTGGATTTCACACCTGATGATGATTGCTTGTGTTGCAGTCGAAACGTCGTGAGAATTTTTTATTGTTTTGTATTTATATTATTTTATTATTTCCCTTCTACGTGACTTTACCGAAAGAACCAAAAATACGTGTATTGAATTGTTACGTCGTATAGGTATCCCTCGATTCACGAACGCCCGCTCTACGAAACGTCGCGTGAACGCAATTGACACATTTGTAGCGGGCGCTTTTCGATTGAACGAACTCGATCTTTTCCGCGTGAACGAAATTTCCCTCCGGCCACTCGCCCACGAGGGTCATCAAACGAGAAGCCACCCCGGGGCAGGCTGCCGTCATCGACAGCGTCACGGTGTCTCTGCAGTGGCAGCCGTAACGTCTCCACATCGCCTTGTCAGTCGTTGCAACATGCAGCAGATTTTAAAAATATTTTTGTTCATTCTTCTTTCGGTTGTATGGCGAAAAGTATTTATGTTGAAACTTCTTTCGCACCTTTAGTCCGAGGTAATATAGGTGCAGTATATACAGGGTGCTTCAGATTTTTTGTAACACTTATATGTGACTATCCTTTTTAATGGAAAAATAATAGATAATTCACTGTAACATGATAACAATTGTATGTTAATCACTTCAAAAGTCTCCACTTGTTCGCCGAAGTGTTAACATTTTTTTGAAGCACCTTGTATTTTTTTTAGGTTGGGAGTAGAGTTGTAATGACCATCCGAACACACATCCTTAATTTGATAGTAATACATTAATTGGTAAAAGTCATTCCGATTTTACATATTTTTTTTTTAAAGAACGTATCCCATTCGTAAATGTAGGGCTACCTATACTGACTTATATAAACTGCAGTGGTCCCTAGGTGAACGATATTAATTGGTTTACACGAAAAACATCGTTAATTGAAAGTATTGTGAATCGAATTAAGGAAATATACTTTGAAGGCTTAATTTGTTCCAAGACGATCGGAATTTGACCTTTTTCAGCCGATAAACATAGTTTATACTTTATAATATTTAAAGACCATTTTGTTCATAATTGAACGTTATGAGAACCTTTTAAAGCATTAGCCTGATTAGAAACATGGACAAATAATGAATGAATTGAGCATAAATGGTGCATAAACAGCGCATAATATAAAACTGGATACCTGGAAAGCTAGCAACCAGTTTCTCTCAAAACGCTGATTGGCTGAGGTCTGCCGGGTCCGCTTAGGAACGCTCCTATTGGCCGAGTTCGGCGGCTCCGCGTGATATAGTAAACGCCTCTCGTTCCTCCAATATGTCTATGTGTCGTTCATAAAAAAAAACAACGGCGGGACCTTCCTGGAGGCGGATTGTGAATAGAAATATCGTCAATGGATGGCATCGTAAACCCATGGATCACTGCATGTCTTTATAAGACCCTCTGTCAATCGACGCCGTGTCGGTCTCGCATGTTTGTTTGACCATACTTCACCACGCTGGTCATCCATCGCGGGTTGGTGCGCCCACACAGAGGAACGGTTTAAGATGTCCGCTGCAGTGCCCCGGGGCAGGGAATTGAACTCAGGTGGCGCCGGGTTAATCACAATAATAGTGCAGTGCGCTAACCACCATCATTCCGCTAAGGTATATACTTACTCCCGTTCTCGGTGTAGTGACGTATATTGAGTCACTATGGCGTCTAGCGTCAGCTATTGGAAGAAGGGTGGTACTGTGCATGTTAGCGTCTCTGTCTGGCACGAGAGTGTGCATGGCACAGAAGCGGGCCCTAGGGGGCGTGCTCCTGGTGACGGCCAGAGAGAGAGAGGTCACTTCAAGACGTGATAGTCGGGGTGAACCCGAGAGGGCACGTGACCAGGAGAGGGTAGCGATGGCGGCCAATGGGTGGCGAGAGGGACACGTGACATAAGGCCCATAACCTTCTAGTAGGATCTAGAAGGGGGCGTGGTTTAGCCAGGAGCTAGGCCACGCTCAGGGGCATTAAAGGGGAGTCCCGAGCACCGATGCGGGCTGTCTTCAGGAATCAACCCGCGGTGTTACACGTCTCCTCGATTTTCGGTCATCACGTTCGGCATCGTGAGTCAGGCAGCACGTTACTGTCCTGACTCAGATGAGTAGTTATCCCGTTGGGGGTCTGGGTTAACCGTGGTGGTTACCACCTATTCCGTTACGTGTTATTTAGTACCCTGTTGGGGTGTAGTAATAAACGTGTTGTCTCCAAGTTCAAGTGTGTGACTCCGTGAAGAACACTATACCCGTGAAAAGGGACCTTTCCGTTTCGTGGTGTAGACTGTGGATGGCTCGTCGCTGTTTGCGAGCAGCTATTTAAGCAAAAGAGGCGTCGTAATTAAGTACTGTACTGTCAAACATATCAATAAAATTATTATTTGTGAAAATAATTGGTATTTATCCTGTGTGTGCCTGTGGTGCTCGCTAACTGCACTTGCCCCAACAGTACGTTTAAGCTATATTGGGGATCTTTGTCTTTTATTATGTGTGGGGAGCGGTGGTGCCGCGGTTAGCGCGCTACGCCACGAACCCGGTGACCTGAGTTCAATTCCCGCTCACGGCCACACCAGTGACGGTCCTCGACCTCCCCTAGGTCGACTCAGCCTCAAGTGAGTACCTGGCGTTGTGTGCAAACATCTATACTCGAGAGACAAAGGCGGCCGGGCGTGGTGCTGGCCACCCACCGTCTCGTGTGCCGTGCCGGCCTTCATAGGTGCTGCTATTCGCTAACAGCACTTGCCCCAACAGTCTGTTTAGGCTATACTGGGGATCTTTGTATTAGTATTTGGAGCTCGCTAACAGCACTTGCCCCAAAAGTA